CACACCTTGGCTCAGGCGATTAGAGGATCATCAGGGGGTCCTTTTGTCCCTCTGTGGGGGGACAAAGGACTCCCACTAGGTTTATATCTGGGACTCTCCACCATTTGACCTTAGAACTGAAGAAGCCTCTCGGATGAAGGTGAAACGTCTTCAAGTAACTTTAAGAAGTCCAGACGCTTTTCTTTGCAAGCTCCTTTGACAACAAGTCCTCTAGAAACACATGTTCAGTTTCAGGCCTCAAACAGCTGCAGTGTTGTGACGTTGGTGGAGTGGAGGGCTGCTCCGAGAAGATGGAGGTTTACCTGTTTCATCCTCAGTGTTTGGTAGCTTTGGAATAAGCTCATTTTTTATGAACATCAATTATTCAGCAGTTTGTAACCGTTTTATCATTCATATCAGTTCTTTGCAACAAGCTTGAACTGAAGGGCCGTTTTTATTACCAACTGAAAACTGCACATGAGCTGAAACCAGATCTTTAATCTTCCATGTGTTGCTCCAGAGGTGGGACCAAGTCTCAAGTCTTTATCCTCAAGTCAGAGTCGAGTCGAATCTTTGAATTTCAAGTCCGTTCAAGTCTTTTTTTAAACAATGTTGCAGTTATATGTTAAATATAAATAACAGATGTGTTCTTCAGGGCTGCTGCTCTGCCAGCTGTGAGGAGCTGTGATGTGTTCACACTGAGTTTGTCTCTGAACTTTCATTTCAGCTTCCAAAGAAGTGAGCGTAACCTGACACTGGGGGAGGTCTTTCTGTGGAAATCACAGCAGACCTGTCGGACGGCATAGCATCATGTTTATCCACCTCAGCAGGAAACTGCACATGCAAACATAAAGTCGTGATAACAGTCATTGATTATACCAAACACCTGCTCAGCTGGTCACATGACCACACAGCGATGAAGCAGAAACAAACCCCGAGCAGCTCCTCCACAGCAGGAGAGGAGCACAGACACGCCTCCCTGCTGGCTCCGCTCAGCCATGCGGACTGCACAGCACAGCCTGGGTCTACGCTCACACCGGCTAGCTGGTGTATCAGAGAAACTCAGGAGGGTTTTCTCCAAGCATGTTATCCCGGTGTACTTCAGACCCAGCAACACGCTCAGACACAAACTGGTTCACCCGAAAGACAAAACTCCAAAACACAGACTTAACAATGTGGTGT